ATTCAATTCAATTCGGTTCAAATCCGTTTTGGTCAGTTCGGTTCAATTTAAGAGTTTTGTCCAACCATACTTATTATACATTAAATAATTCATGTAAAACCTTCATTAATGAATATAATATTATAAAAGCTTTAATAAAGTTAATAATAAAATCTTATTAGATAAATTTGCGTTGCTAATAATTTATAATTGATTTTCAATACTGATCAACCAAACCCACGTTGTATTGATTTTAACAAATATCATTTTAATGTATAAAAATAATAAATTAGTATGTTTTGAACCAAAAAAAAAAATTAATATTAACAAATTCACACTTAAAAGTTGAGTAATATTAACAACATACACTTATATATTGTTAAAATTCAAGTTCCATCTTAAAATGTCAGCCTTTGCAAGATGAATAGTTCAAACCCTTGTATATTTGTTTATATTTCAGTACTTATCTAGTGTGGACTTTATTCCTTAACATGTTGTCGTAAAACGGTAGTTTGTTTGAGCAAATCAATTTTAAAATCCGTGTTCTTCCATTTTTTTTTTTTTAGTTCTAATCGAATCAATTTGCTCATCGAAGCTTAATCTACTCTAATTCCATATTAAAATTTGATTCTATTTTAGAATGTCAATCTTTGTAAGAGAAGCAAGACCCTAGTGTTATAGATGAGATATTTATCCCTTAACGTATATCAAATAGCATTTATTCCAATGAGATGATTACACGTGTTATGAAGTTAAGCCCTTGTTTTAGCTCCATTTTTCCAATAATTTAGAACATGTTCTCTTTGTTGTTTTCAAGTCATTTTCTGTTTTCGATTTTTGAAAACAGTGAAAACGCGTTCTCTTTTCCTTTTCGGAAAAAAAAAATTGTAAAGAAAACACAAAACATTAAAATTGACGTTTTGGGCGTTTTCTATTATAAAAAAACTCAAAAATAGTTGGAAACGCGGAAAACAGGAAAGAGAAACCCATTAAGCCGTCTCACTTCAGTCTCCCTTCTCTCTTCCTTCAACCGTCTCTTTCTGCTCTCTTCTTGACACCGACTTCAATGTGGGAAGGCGATGAAGGTGATACGCCGATGCCAATGTCGACGTGGGGAGGTGACGCTGCTCTGAATGCAGAGTTGCGACCCATTCGTTTGGGCCCATATCCATCTCGTCTCTCATCAACACCGACTATGGTTTGGGGGAGGCGAAGTTCACGTGTTGATTTTGGTTGATTTGGTGGTGGTATGTTTGATTGTGGTGGTGGTGATTTTGGTTTCTGCATCTTTCCCATCTCTTCTCTGTTTTCTACGTTTCTCCCCTATCTGCTCTAATCATCACATGGTGTTGATTTTGGCCATGGTTGATGGTGGCGATGGCAATGGTTGATGGTTAATGGTGGTCGTGGTGGTGTTGATTTTGGTTGATAGTTCATGGTGGTAGTGTTGATTTTGGCAATGATTGATGGTGTTGATGGTGGTGGTGGTGGTAGTCGGCGATGGTGATTTTCGTGGTGGTGTTGTGATGGTTTCTTCAATAAAATATTATAAA